TAGGACTGCTCGGTAGCTATGTGAGTAACATTCTGTGTTCACCGTTCAGCATTCGCTCATAAGAGCACTGTTCGACCATGTACCTCGACCAGACACTGAGCACCAGCCATTGTGAGATGAATTTCATTCAAAAGCGAAAGCGGACCATGACCAACACAGGCTTTCGAGTGTCATTTTCGAAATCCGCTTCCTGGTCTGTGCAAATCAAATTATGCAGAGTCTCCTCACACGTACGTGCTGAAAAAGGAACGCTCGTCGACGAAGCACTCGCAGGAGACGCGAACGTTGATGCTGAATTTTGTCCAGAGCTGGCATTCCTTAGTACCGTTGTTCCTGAGTACAGTGAAGCTCATGTGCTTTTGTTTACACTTTCCGTGAGCTGAAACCATGGCACAAAGAAATGACAGAATGTAAACAGACTGATACTCTTACGGTTATTCTTAAAGTAGATGCATGCCTTGTCTTCATCGCAGACCACTTCGTTGATGAACTTCGGAAAGAAAGTATCAGGCAGGCGACGAATCGCTTGGCAAGCACCGCAAAGACGAAGGAAGCCGTTCTCCAGCGATGCTCTTTTGCGACAACCGAAAGGTACAACGTGAAGTTCTCCTGAACAACAGACATAAGAACTGTATGAAAATGAACTACATTAGATACAATGAGAAGGATGACGAACAGAGATGGGGAGGGGGGAACGAATGAAATGGAAGAAGGATAAAAAAAGGAGAGGTATCATGGGAGACGGAATATAAAGTACTAAAGTGATGCATGTGAAACCTAAAAAAAAATGGCAGCACATGTTAGTCAAAAGCCAAATATCGGTGGCTCATCTGATATGATAACGCAGCACATTAAGAATCTCATATCAAGCTGAAAGAAAGCCTAAGGTATTTTCGCGCATAACCGCGAAGATCTGTCATCGACTTAAATAATCAACTAACGTGGCTCTAGCAATAAGGGTTTGAACAGCTTCTTTCAGAAAAAGCATCTTCTTACTACAAACATACACGGATGGATTTACTAGATCAGTCATATCAATTTAATCTGCTTCATTTACATCTTCCATGGCCGTTTCTTCGTTCGGGTAGCGGAAGCAGACGCCGCAGACAGTGCATTCGATGTTCCCGATTCTATATCAGAGTCGGAGCTTCGGCAGAAGATATCCGGAGTCTACACGAGGCTCTATTCATATATTTGCACCAAGTTAATCTTGGTCGTTCCCTGAGCCCCTGCCCTGTCGGCTGAACGCATTCGCAACACACGCCCAAACCGTCGCGCCTTCTCAGTCTGAATAAGCAGTGGTTGTACACCAAGGCTATCACGGATTTCGATACTCCGGACAATGTCAAGAAGTGGCCCTTCCTCCAGGGAGGACTCATATTCTCCCTCCAAATTAGGCGCATACACCTGTATAAAGGTCATATATACATACATATAAATTCGACTCTCAGAAAAAAAGTCACAATGCCCAG